TAAATACGCAGTAAAATAAAAGAATGGAAATCATTTTGACAGCACGTGTCGGCGTTCTTATCGACAAAACTGAGAGGCGACTGTAGAGTGATGCTCCCTTGAAATAGAAGCAAAGCTGTCTCTTGCGACCACTACAACACTTCGGTGAACTTCTGAATTAGCCGAAATATATTTATTTAGGTTGAGTTTTTTGTTTTTGTTTGTGGAACAAGTCGTGTGGTGCCGATGATATGCAAAATCTTATCAGACAAGCCCGTTTATGTTTGTTTGCATAAATTATTATCATTATTGTTATTGTTATTTTTTTTAGAAGGGAGGTGTTTATATATCGTTGTTGTGTACACAATAGATTCAATATCACAGAGTAGATTTTAAAATTAGATTTGATTATAATTTAGGCCAAGCCAGAAGAAAATGTTTAAAGGTTATCACAATTGTATGGTTGTTGTTTAATTTGTAACCATTCTATATTGAGAAATTATTTGGGAATACAAAATTTGCTAAGATGGCGTTTTAAGTTCGCATGCACGCAACTTTTTTTATCCTCAAATAAAATGTGCTAAACGTTATAGATAAAATGGCAAATGTCTACACAAGCGACTGAGGAATTTTTCTTTATTGGAAAATATTTTGATAAATAGTAAGATTTTTTATCCCCTAAAATCTGAACATTGGGGAATTTAAATTAGGATATTTCAAATACTAAATAGTGTGCAATACTTGTAATGTTTTAAAACTCTATTCAATCGAGCGATTTTATACAACTGACTGTGACTGAGCACAACCGATAGAGAATAGTTTTTCAACATGTGTGCATAAACATATTTTCACAATTGTCGAAATTATTTTTGTAGATTGATACTGGGCGGGGAAGTCTGCAGGGTTGTGGCACTCGATATGGTTAACCATTAAATGATTTGCGTACGTCGCTGATACAGAGCTATATCGTCGGAATGCTACGGAGCTACAATTGCCAAGAGGATGATATTGATGGAGGGATAAATTTACCCAAATAAAAAATTATATAAACTATTATAATGTGAATTTAAAATTGAATATAATTTTCAAGTATACTTTGCACACATTTTAGAAATTAGATTTACGTCCTGTTTCATAATACCGTAACAAATACCAGTTTTCTAAGCGAATCGAAAATAAAAACGAAAAGCTGTCAAAGTTGACTTAAATTGAGTTTCTCTAAATTCATAACATTCTCTCGACTGCCTTAACGTAGGGTGAGATGAAATAACTGCAACCAACTTCAGACTACTGTAATTTCCAAGCCACTCGTCCGACAGCTGTTGAAACTATTCCAATGACAGCTCCTTTTATTGTTTACAAGCGCATAAAAGCATTTTGGTGAGAATTTTCCAGAAAAATAGTTATTCGTGATGGAATTCAAGCGTGATAGTGTGATTTCTTTATATTTGGCTGAAAACCCGTTAGAGCACTCCAGTATTTAAATGTGAATGAATCTTTTGTGTTTCGTACCATCGCTCTTCACCGTGATACTGGTAAGTGGCCCGAAATCAAGGAAGTGGACGTAAGAAAACAGCAACATCAGCAGAAATGGTTCGAAAGGAAGGAAGCGACTTGGTCGAAACCCGCGTCGCAGTGGCCGAAAAATGGCTCGTGAGCTGAACATATCGCAATATTCCCTTCGGCAAATATGTATATAAAATGAGCTAGGGGTAAAGCCATTGAAATGCCAAAAGCGCAAGAACATACACCGCAACAGATAGAAAATAGACTCAAAAGAGCTAAAGAGATGCTTCGCGTGGAAGAAAGTGGTGAATTGCTGAGTGAGAAAACATTCGTTGTTCAGCGGTTTGTAAACAAAAAAAATGATCGTGTTTACTTGCCAAAGAGATCAGCTGAAAATGTGCACCTTCGGTTGGCCACCAGAACTCAAGCGTCGGCCATGGTGATAGTGTGGGCCTCCATAACAGCCGATGGTCGCTCTCCGCTCGTATTAATCGACCGTGGCATCAGAATAAATGCCGAATATTATCGCGAAGATATTCTGGAGGGTGTATTAAGGCCTTGGGCACGCAAACATTTTGGCCGCAGACCTTGGATATTCCAACAGGACTTAGCACCATCGCACTCAGCACGCGCCACTCAAGAATGGTTACAAAATGAGGTTCCTCGCTTCATTTCAATTTTTATCACCCATCTACGAGGAAGTAGTAAACATCTCAAGATTCTAACTTTGGACAGCTCTTTATTTATAATTTTGTATACATACATATATACATAGATTGCTTGGAGCGCAAATCTCAATATATTGCCAGTCAGTACAGGCTACGAATAAATCACCCGTTCAAGTAGTTCGTAATGGATTCTCTCTCCTGTGGCGGAACATAGTATGTATAGGTCCGCGTTTTCGTATAGCCCCACATAATGGTACCTCCGAATATTCCGTATTTTTATGATTTTTGGCACATTTTTCCATGGATTTGTGTGAACATTTGTATTTGTAGTTCATAATGGGTTCCAGTTCCGTTGGCAGGAAGTTGAATATCTATGTACCTAATGGTGGAGGGTACTAAAAGTTCGGCCCGATCGAACTTAATGTCTTTTTGCTTGCTATTTTCAATAAAGCCTATCAATCCTTTTTCAAATCAAAATATATTCTGCATATAATAACATCAATCACATATATTTTAATATCAAATTTAAGACTTTTATTTCAAGTTTGCTGCCCATATTTTACGCATTCCAAACAGCTTTTCATTTTCATTTTTAAATACAAAATGGTTGTAAATACTCGAGATTTTCTTTGGTATACCTAGAGACTCATAATTCATATGAAGCTAGCAAATTGTAACCATTTTACAGCAACGAAGGTATGGACAGTACGCCATTGGGAATTACCTTAAGTTGCTTGTCCATAAGGCGTTGTTTGTGTAATCTCTCTCCTGTGGTAGCAGCCAGCCAGATAGGCTAATCAGTTTCACTTAAGTGAAATGATATGTTGATAATTAAGGTTATGATAATGGAATATGGAAAAATGTTAAATTTTTGTTTTCCGAAATAAATGGAAAAGTACACAATTTTATCGCTCACATTTACAGTCTTACCATTCGTTGGCAATTGATAAGGTTTACTTTAATGTGAAACATAAAAGCAATTAGATCTGTCTCTTAGAATTTCAATATTATTCAATTTGAATAAAGTGAATAAGTCCTTATTTAGCAAACATTTACATACACACTATAGATATTTCTAATTTTAGAGCAATTCCACACTCCATTTGTTATTCTAAACATTTCAGATTTAAAGTTCGTAATGGGTACTACAGTCAATAACAGAATATTTTCTATGCTGGTCCATGTTCTCGTGCAACCCTCATATATCGGCCTTCTATCGTTCGAAAGATAGCGAATATATATATATATATATATCAAGAACATTTGCCGATATTAGAAAAGTATGTATTAGTATGACAAAAAAAAATCTAAATGTCCAATTAGCTCTACTACTTTTGGACCCTTTATATTCCGTATTTCACTGATTCCAGTTCCAATTTTGAATTTTGAATTTAGAGCTTTCATTGGACGGATTATTGTCATATGAAAGAAGTAGGCCCACGCTTTGTCGGTCATTTTTGTTTGTTTAAATGTGTTCGCATATTACAGTGAAGCACAATATAAGTCCTGGAGTTGAAAGCTAGATGTCAATTTTAGACATGAATAGTATGCCATTTAACATAGTATTGCGCATTAATTTTTTTATATTATTCATTCAGAATTCAAAACAATAAAAATTTACACTTCAATATAGTATATCAAATTGAAAAAAATACATGCTACAAAAAATTTTTCATTCATATTCCTATTGGCATAATTTTTCGATGTTTTGCCAAGATATCATTTCAAAGTTGTATGAATTGTCAAAATCCTTCAAGCCGTTCTTGTGTTATAAGCGTAGTAACTAACACAACTTTCTTTATACTTTGTATCTTCTTAGTATAGTTCGCCTTACATAGTTTTCCCCGGTGTCGCTTTATACCACCCAAAAAAAAAAAAACAAATCATATTAGAGTTCCAAAAAAAAAAAAAAAAAAAAAAAAAAAAACTTCACGAATATACATTCGAAAATAGTAAGTCAAAATGAAAAAAATCATACAAAATAAAACATTGCTATTGTACATTTCAAAAGTCAAAATGAAAAACTTCAAATCATTTATTTTTACGCTAATTTTTTGGATTTTATCCTTTTTCGCAAAGAGACAATTCCGAATTTGCCTGAATCGTAAAAGTCAGACCTGCGTCAGTTATAAGCGTAGTAACTAACACAACTTCCTTTTTTATATATATAAATAGACTAGTTTTGAATTTCAACATACCAATTAGGTCGTGTCAAAATTGAATTGGTTCACAGAAGCCATAAAAAGTTGAATCAATTTTGAACTGAGAACTATTTCCATTATTTCTAATAAAACGATCGGTATTTCCTGTAATCTAAATAACAACCATGAAATTTCCTTAAATTTTAATGGTTGGTATAATGAAGTGGGATACTTTTCGAATTTGATTGCGGTTCGAGTGTGTGAATGTCCGGAATTATCAAAGTGTTTGTGTGTTGAGAGTTGACAAGCCATTCATACATTGGACCCCAGTTTTTCGATCCGAGTAAATTTATAATAGCATTATGATGGTGAGTATCCAAGGAACTTCAAAATAATTGGTCCGTTTAACGATGCATGTACATGCACACACACATACGAAGGTGAAGATTAAAAACTTCTTCAATGTTTCGTGTTTGTTGTACGCGGTTTTGTGGCACATTCAACATGTGTGTGCCACAGTTGGCGAAACCACAAGTGTTTGTGCAAAAAGCGCGCCAGAATTCCGAATCTTCTCTTGCGCAAGACTTTCGTTAGGTTGCTAAGGAAGAGAGGAGCTTAAGAAAGCCAACGAAACCATGCCAGCTCAAACGGGGTCTGCACCTGCACGACACATCGTTGGCAAATCAGAATACTTTAGACTGGCGGAGTTAACGGTTGATTTTGAAAATTGAAGCGGAGTTCACGCAAAGCGCCAAAAAAAAAAAAGAAACAGAAGAATTCTACTCTGTAATGGTTACTTAGTATATGGCCAAGAAAGAAAGAAAGAAAATTGTAACAAAGGAAACGGAAGCGGTGCGACGCGGCGCGGCTAGTAAAGAAAATAGAAAATAACAACCATAAAAACGTATGCAAGTATTGGTTTGGATATTATCGTTGTTGGTATAAGTTCCTATTGTGCGTGTGTGTGTTAGCAAAGTACTTGCTAGTGTTTGTGTGTGTGTGTGTGTATTTCTTACCAATAAAAATGTAAATTTTTTTGGCAACTACATGGAAAAGTGGTTTACCCATAGATATTTTGGTTAAACAACAACAACAGCAGCAGCGAGAAAATTTGAAAAAAAGTGGCAACAGCAAAGAAAATAAATTGTTCACCAGTGAAGTTTGCTGTCTAAAATAGCTGTTCTAAAAAAAGTTTTTAATATTTTTTTTAAAAAGGAAAATATGTTTCAAAACCCAAGATAGCAAAAGCAAAAAGTGATTTCAATGTCAGGTGTTGTGTAATTCGCTGAGTGTGCATGAAATCCCGCTTAGTATAAGCACATCCAGTAGCCAAGCTACAATGCAATAGGATACAACAAACCATGTCTCAGCCAAGTAAACGAGGTGGCCGTGGCGGGGCAGCCGGCGGTGTGGGTCGGAAGACCCCCTCATCGGTTGCAGGTGCCGCCAGCAGCACACCGGACGAGTCAACGGCCGCTAGTGAACGCAATACTCCAGCCAGCAAAGCTGAATCCGATCCCAAGGACGATAGTTCCGTGAATGGTGATCGCAAAGATGCCGATGCAGCTCCCAAACCGCCCAGTGCGGGGGCATCAATACGAGAAACGGCCAATAAAGTTCTGTCGCTGGCCATGAAAAGCGAATGGACTCCCGTCGAACAAGAATTGAAGAAGTTGGAAAAATATGTGGCCAACCAAGGCGAAGATGGCAACACCATCCCCCTGGCGGGTGTCCACGATCCGGTAAGTAGTAGTTGTTGTTTTTCATCGAAACGGGAACGACCGTTAAATGGAGCATGACAACGCATTCACATAATTTCGTTTTTAATGAAAATCAGAAAAATCAATTGAAAACATATCATCCAGCCTTTGTCGATGGAAGGCTCTATCTACCCCCTGGCCGCCGTCACCCCTATCAACCCAAATGTAGTTGTTTATTTGACAAAATAACCGAAAATACCAAAGCGACCCACAAACCCCAAATGCCAAACACAACCAGCAACACGATAGTTTGCAATAAATACATCTGCATAAATATCTATGAACATTGTGGTGGTATTTCAAGCTGCCTCCACCCCCCTCGGCCAGAGACTGTTTTCGTTTCAATTCTTAATGTCAGCAGAACGTTTTCGATTGAATATGTTCCCCACCCCACTGGGCTGGTCTCGCAGCAATTTTGTGATTGTTGCTGCCGCAGTGTCTCATTCCATGCGTTATTGATTTTGGTTTATTATTGTTGTGATTGTTATAAATAGACATGAACGTCTCGGTGTTCAATCCTTTGGCCCCACCCCCGAATGTCACCAGGAAAGATGCCTGTACAACAGCAATAGTAAGGTACTTCAATACCAGTATCAAATGACAAGAAACCGTTCGATGAAAGGACCTTTTTTAGTTTCCCATCAACATTCCAACACAATTGGTGGTGAATGTATACATGTCTGTGTATGTGTGCGGGGAACTGATAAATTTCAATTTTTGTTTTAATGTGAGGAAAATATCAAAACAAATCTTTTTTTGACAAATTTCTTGCTCACTAGTTGTTCAACCAAGACAGAAAGTAAAAAAAAGAAAAATACCTTCAGTTCATGCTCGTAGAGTCGTAGAGGGAAATCAGCGATAAAGTGTCTGTAACAAATATTGTATTATCTGTAAATGAATCAATGTTTGAAATGAATCAAAAATCTAAAGCTAAAGGATTTTTTATCAAATTAAACAAGCGCAATTCTTAGATATATGCAATATTTTTTATAAATTGGAGAAGAGTAGATTCCGCTTAAAGTTAAAATTTACATTTAATTAAACAGGTAAAGCAGAGTTTAAGTCGATCGGGTCGCTCGGTTAAATATTATATCAAAATTTGTATTTGTATGGGCCTCAGATGTCCCTCAATACCTCTACCTTTTCTAATCCACTATACTTTGGAGGGTAAATTAGTTTTGTCATTTATTTTGTAACTCATTGAAACAAGAATTTTAGACCCCGTAAAGTGTATATTTTGGTATCAGCATAATATTTTGTTTCTTTATAGCCATGTCCGCCCATACGTCAGTAAAAATCACCCAGCCATAATAAACCATAATAAACTAGGTCATTAAAACTTTACTCAAATTCATTTTAGGTCGGTAGAATATTATGTTCTGCTGGAATTTTGTGTCTCGACAAATATAGAAGTGTTTTTTTTTTTGTTTTCAAAAGTCTTACTTTCCAAATGATGGATGGTACTCAAAGCTCGGTCTTGCTGACTTTAAGTACTTCTTTACATGTTACAGTGTAGTCTGCCACAGCTTGGGAACCCGTAAAACCTATTCCAATCCAAGGCTGCACTGATGTATGGAGCCAACGTAGAAATGTGATAATATATTGAAGACTTTTAGAGAGTAGTTTACTTCACCTTAATGCCAAACATGTATTATATTACAGTCCAACCGATTGGATAATAGATAAATCCCTAGGCTTTGTATGTTTATACATGGGTGTATTATAAGTTTGATTGGGCCAAAAATTATGTAACACCTCGAAATTTTGGTTTCCGACATAGGAAACTATATATGGATCTTCCTATCTCGCGAGCTGAGTCGATCTAGTTATGTATGTCTGTCTGTCCATGTTATTTTGTAATAAAGGTCTCAATTATGGCCCGATCTTAAAGAAATTGAAAATGGAGGTGGGGCTAGGGTCAGAGATGATCGCATAATATTTAGTGGAAATGTACCAAAACAGGTCGCAATTATAGACCAATCGACGTGGAATTTAGCATGGGGCTGGATTTTAAGGCTGGAAGCTGGTAAAATAAACCATAACTTTTATATATAGAAAAATACGAAAATGTCCACTAAACTGCGAGTAAAATATTTTTTATTTTTTATTTTTTTATTTATAGTTTTTTAAGGTGTATATTTAGGGGTTCAAATGGACCAAAAATTAAAACTTTCATGATCTTGCAGTGGCTCTAGGGGTCAAAATTGAAAACCAATCGACAGTGCAGAAGTGTAGCATTTTGAACGAATTTGAATTACATTTAGCAGGTGAAATGGATCACAACTTCAGCACGACATAGAGTGTAAATATAAGGAAAATATCCCCGGTAAAAACCCAAAGGTAAAATTTGTGCAGCACAGTATGGCTTTATTTAAAATAATCGACAAAAATGTTTTCGACACAAGGATGTTTTCCAATATTTTATAGTGTTGTAGGGTATCACATGGTCGGCCCCGCACGGCTATAGCCTTTGCTTACTTGTTTTAAAAAGGTTTTTATTAACATTTTCCCTTAAAAATATTTTTCAAATAACTTCTGGGCGGAATATCTGTCAAGGGGTTCTTTAGGTGGCGTCAGGTGGCTATATGTTTTAATTTTAGAAAAAATACGGCACTCATTTTACTTAAATAGTTGTGGAATATTTTCTGGGATATTTTCCCCAGGAGTTATTTTAAAAATTACTTCTATGAAAAAAATAACTTTTTTTGCCCAAGTGACGAGATCTTTTCTATTGAGCTTACGCTCTCGTCACTTGGGTAAAAAAGTTTTTTGTCATTGGAATTATTTTTTAAATAAAAGTAGCTGGAAACATCTATTCTATCAGACCAAAATAGTAAAATCACTTTCATCGACCTTAATATGATTTTTTTAATTTAATTCCTTCACGTTATATATGTTTTACTTTAATATGTATGAGAAGGAATGTTTAATATTTTCAAATTTAAAAAAAATCGCTGCAAGTGAAAAATATGAAATATAGCTATAATTGTATTTATAACTGAGGGACTGTAACAAATATTATTTGAAAAATAATGTGTTTTGCTTAACTACACATTCATAAATTACACTCAGATTTGTGCAGCAACGACCAAAATATAAAAAAGCTTAAAGTCAATGAGTTGCAGAGAAGCAGATATCCCAAATTTTCATGACAAACTTTAGCATTCGCAGTGTGATCACTTTGTAAACATTGTCAAATTTATTTGTTAATAAAAAAAACTTTATTCTTATAGAAACAACAGCACTGGTATTAGGCCTACCTTGTTTGAGACAACAAATTACAAAATTATCTTACACTGTCTATTAAAGACGTGTGATGATCTTTTTCTGGATATGTTCACACTGGCCAAATAAAGGTATTAACGTAAACTTTGCGAGTTCAGTTATGATGAACAAATACCTTTGTCACTCCGTTTGTAGCCTATCGACATATTATTTTAGACCCAAAAAAGAATATCCATTATTGATCAGCGTTAATATCTAATTTGATATCCACGTTTTCGCTTATCCCCATAAAAATTCGGTGAGACTATGTGAAGTTCCACATTTCCACACATTTTCTAGATATGTCCACGCTTGCGTACAGCCCATATAACTGTACCCCCATCTTGTGTTTTGGGCAGTAAGTGTGCAGTAATTCAACGAAAATACGTACGGGAATGTTTAGAATTTATTATATAATTACTCTATTCCAGAGCCTGCAAGAATCTACTAGTTTTGCCATTTGTTATCGATATCATGAGGGGAATATCGGCTAACGTAGTACAAACTTTTACATTCTTGCAGTTCTGGAACAGACCAAATGCTTGTTTATACATTTTCATATGTACCCCAAATAATGGTACCGTTTTGTGAGATTTGTGAATTTGAGAGTTGTTTACAACCTTGTATTTGAAGTTTTTTTAATAGGCACCTTATATTCCGAAATAGGTAACATATACTGCAGCATCTCCATATTTGACTTTTTAAGGGTAGTGACTACATATTTAGAAAATTCTTAGCAAAAAAATCTTAGAGCCACAATTGATCTATTCAAAATTTGGAAATGGATAGCTTTAGCATCTCAGAAACAATATTTAACATTCCAATTCTAAGTCGCGACAAAAATGATTTTCTTTCCGATAATGGTGGGGCCTCATCGAATCTAATTGTTTTTTTAACTTTTTTCAAAACAACTGCTTAGCTAAACCTTTTCTTTTTCATTTTTCATTTTCAGAACACTGGAATGACTCCCCTAATGTATGCAACTAAGGACAATAAAACTTCGATTATGGATCGAATGATTGAATTGGGTGCAGACGTCGGAGCCAGGAATAACGTAAGTACAATCGCCTGACTACTGCAAAATGTTATTTACCCGTTTAAGCGTTGAAAGCATAAACATTTAAAGGACATGAAGGGAATGCCATAAAAATAAAAACAAACAAAATCAATACCCAACATATTTTAAGCGGCTAAAATCAAAGTTGGTCAAAAGGAAGTCGGTCTGGCACTATAAAAGGCTGCGGAGCACGCAACAATGTGTGTACCTGCCAAATGTGAGTTGTAATAGAAACCGAAGAAAAACAAATGCGTCAGTGCGTGCCCCCAAAAAGGGAAAACGCGGAACTCACCAGCGCTGGCCATGTGATTGCTGTTGGCGGGGAGCGTAAGGGTTGTTCTGCTGCAAATGCGTTTAATGAACTTTGTTCCCTGCTACTTTAATTCCAGAAGACCTGCCAAAAACATAGGACTTTCTTTAAAAACAATATTCAAAGGATAAGGTTGGCATTCTTCGGATGCGTTACAGCCAAGTTATGTTTCCAATGACATTTTGGGCCGCTTGTTTTATTTTTTATATTTTGTTTGTTTGTTTTTTTTGAAACTTTGCCGAAAAATCCTTGACCCAAATAAACTCCATATTTGTTGGTGTGAATTGTCGAATGTGTGTGTGTTTGCGAAAGCACTCTAAGTGGTCGTGTTGACCAAGGGCGATTTTTATGAAACACTTGGAGGAGATTGACGGTCGCAGTCTAAGCTGCAAAGCAGAGTATATTTTGAGTATGACGACCTCACTCTGCTGGACGAAAATTAACCGGCTATTTTAGTATTTTGGCTTTGGTTTTGGGTTTAGTTTTTTCTTTTTTATTTATGTTTGATATATGAAGTTAATATTTCTTTCTGCCTGTGGGAGGGAATATTGTTTCTGAAGAATGTTGGGCAGAGAGTGGTAATCAGAGATATTTCACACTTCGTTTAACAACGTTGCGATAGATTGACACGAATAAATGACGCCCATGTAAAAAAATAATCAGGTCTTGTTTTGCATTCTACAGTGCCAAGAACATAGGTTAAAGTCTCGGGAAGGTTGGCAAACTTCTTCACACTTAGCGGAAATCCAATGAAACTCAATCAGCCGGTCAGATGTAATATGTTGCTCAAGGGGAATGAAAAAGTTGTGGAAAGACATGAAATGATCGAAGCTCTGTGTTCGCAATCAAAAAAAAAAAAAATATCTCCCTTCTTTATCGTAATAAAAATATTGAAACAACAAAAAATATAAGCCCAAGTTATTAATAATTTTCCTAAAAAAAACTGCGTCACCCACGCATGTGTACATTCGTTGAAGTCTCATCAACCAACTGAGATCAACGCAGACGTACTATTTGGTGCATCTATGGTTTGATTCTTCTTCTAAAATGAGTAATTTGATTTGATTAAAACACAAAAGATTGAGTCTGAGCGAAATAATGAATTTAGTCCCCACTAAAAAAATGCCCCACATTGATTGAATGGTTGAATAAACAATGATGCCGACTGGAAAAACTCGATTGAAAGAAAAAAATAACAGTTGTGATTGCTCACTTCAATTCACGTGTTCGATCAACTCATGTTGCTGAACAAATCAAACGCTCTCAAAAACACTCATCTTTGATTACGAGTGAAGTGTTTCAAGTGCAGTCCGATGCGGAAAATATCAATTCACTCAGATCAAACCAATTACGAATTATTGATATTCATTGCAGCCCTCTGGTATCTTTGTGTGTATCTGTAACAAGCGATGCTAGAACCCGATGTTCCCATATTAGCAAAAGTGTAAAAAAGTTTGAAACGATCATTTAATTTATGCTTGAACAGCGGAAAACTCAAACCCGATTTAGGTTTGACCATCTGTACATCAATCTAACTTTCGTTTAATATGTTTTTTGACAGAATGAGGATCAAGGTGAGGATTGAGGTTCTGATTAATAGCAGTACCCTCCGACATTTTTACACCGTATGAAGGGAATATTAACTTTGTCATTCTGTTGTAACACCTCTGTTGTAACACCACCTAGAAATATTCATGGATCAGCGTAAAATTCTAAGACGATCTAGCGTCTGGCTGTCTGTACATCTGTCTGTTTTAATCATGCTATCTTCCGAACGAATTGAGATAAAATGCTAACATTTTGCATACATACATGTTTACCAGTAGGCAGGTTAAGTTCGTTTTCGTTTATCCCCTATATAACGGTACCCCCGATATACGGTATTTTCATGATTTTAGCGACATTATTCACCGGAATTGTTTCAAATTTGGTATTTGAAGTTCGTTAAGTCTATGACAAAAAATGTCGTAAGCAGGTCCACGTCTTCGTATGGTCTCTATATAATAGCTTTAATTTAAGGGGTAGATTCCGGAAGTTTTTTTTTTGAAAATTTTCAAGTTCCTTCCAAATGGTATTTAAAATTTAGGCCGGCCAAACTTAGCTGCTTTTTTACTTGTTACTATGTAGGTTTCTTACCACTCCTACTGCCCTTATTGTCTCAATATGACTTTTCTGATTAATAGACGTTAAAAATCCTTTTCGGCGAAGTTCGAATATAACTGTATAGCCCATATACAGAGTTTCAAAGTCTTTGGCTAGGAATTACAACTTAACTTGCTTTTATTCGGCGATTTCCAGTGAGGAACAAATTACTTTGACAAGTGAGGTTTTTACAACTTGAAGTTAAGTTGTTGCTTTAATAGCATGTATTTTTGGCGTTTATGATTCTTAGATGGAGAGTGATTTGTTTTTTTGAAAAGTTTTAGGTGTACTCATTTTGGAGTAACCCCTAGATTTCGGAACCTCCTCAACTTGGCATTTTGAAGGTTTTAATAAAAAACCACCACAAAATTCTAGATATTTAGAATTAATTACAAGCACTGGTTATATATAGGTTATTGTCCAAGTCTGTATTTTGGTACTAGGAATTAGAATATTTTGAGCCTATTTCGAGTTGCGCCCTTATTCAGGAGACAGTACCTTTTTTGATGAGTTTGATAGTTTTAAGCATTTTTCCTACTTGCATTTGCAGTTTTTTTGTTTGTGAGGTTGCACATTTTTAGGAAGAAGCATCAACTTAACATGAATTTTCTTTTAATCTTCATTACATGCGAATTTTGGCAATCAATACTAATATGTAAAAAAAACATTATTAAATTTCATTTCAATAATTGAAAATTTCTAATCACATTTTCGGCATTGGTCTCAAAGATTGCCAACGCCATGTATGCTGCTCCACCCCTGTATATTATTGATGCAAATTATTTTCATTCTTCCTCTGATAGCCTTCCATCGATTTTTATTCGGATAATAAGTTTTAGTAGCTTATATTTGTGGTTACGCATTATGTGGACAAGATCTTCAGTAATTTGAAACAAAGTGGATCCATGGGATTTTCAGTATCGTCTGTAGGTTTACATTTCGTTAGAACCGACCATACACACACGAAGCTCGCTTTATTGTTGATTCCGTGGCAGGAAAATCATTATTCTGCTTCAAGAAGACTTCTCTCGCTATTTAAATTCGTCGTATTATATTGGGGTGCAGATAATTAAAAAAAAAAACTTTATTCTTAACCCATAACTGACAAATATGAGGTGATTATATCTCACAGACTTTGTTGCGTGCTCATATTTTCAACACTCTCACATTTTCAAAATCTGTTCTATCAGTGGAATACAGAAATGTAGGAATTATATACTTTGTGAATGGAGTTAATGGAGACTAATATTCATTTTTGCAGTCATCTATCTCGTATGGTATAACAATGTCTCCACACAATGACAACAAGTTCGGTTTCACACAATAATCGCTGACATTCATTTTATTTTATCCACGATTATAATCTTGTTATTAATCATATCCTTCAACGACTTCGTCAAATGGATTTAATCAAAAGCAAGAAAGGCATGAAGAATGGCCCATGGCGTTGTTGAATGCTTTTAACAAAAGCGGACTGATTAGTGCCGCTGTAATTTAATTAAAGCAGTTGAAGTGGTTGAAGTTTGAGTTGCTGTTGTAGGCTCGTTGCAAGTGTAACTCCAATTAATCAAGGTGTTCCTCGCTCCTACTCCGAAGCTGTGACTAAGTGATGAACCTCAGTGGTAGGGTGCAAAATAAGGAGTGTTCGGAGTGATAACATAGCCATTCGGCATCCAAGTTTGAAGATTACAGTGTAATTAACTATGTTTAGAAAATTAAATTTTTGAGAAATGCCACTTTGCATGTCTTCGCCTGGCACGTTTGACACTGATTTCAATTAGCTTAAAAGCACCTGTGTGATGAAATATCCGATTTCAGAACAGGCCACAGGGCACGTTCCTCGACTTTTGGCATAATGATAGTGTGCGAATCAAGTGTCACCATAAATACAAAGTTTCGTTCACGCATTCCAGCCATGGATGGATGGATGGACACAAAGAAAAAGCCATTAACTTCAATGAAAGGCCATATTATTATTACTGCCACCGGATGTGATGACAATTACATTTTATTTGGGACAATGACGACACTTGATTACTCATTTGCAAGGTGTGGGCCATCTTAAGGTAATTGAGTTTTTAGTAAACCCACGTCTCCGGCCAGCAATTACAATGCGATTAATAATGAATTTTGTTTTGCTAAAATTGAATGAAAAACCTAGAATTGGTTTGAAAAAGGACTCCTAGACTACATTAGAAAATACATGTACAACTTTGTATTATAAAAAATAGTAAAAATATCAGATCTTCATATTTAAGGTGCAAGGGTATCGAGTGATGTCCTACATTGAATCAGAGGAATTGTGTTTAAAGGAAATGACCAATGAGGTCATTTTCGTCAATATTATTTAGATGTCTGTCGACTTTTAGAAAAATAAAAAAACAACTCCTATATTTATTTTGGTTTTGGCTATAAGTCATTCATAGGCACCGTTACTAGTCTCATTTCACCAAGTTTCTAAATAAATTAGAATTTCTTTATTCTTACTGAATGTCCCTACTTAATTTCCACTTTAGCAGTTGAAATAGAAAATGGAATGGAAATGTGAAAAACAATGACAAGAATTATAGATATTCGCCACCTAACACTGCAGCACAACTTGAGGTGTAACTCCACTACGACAACGAATGCTAGCAGCAGGTGAAAAAACCCAAAACAATAACACAACAACTAAACAACAACTCCCGAACTGTTGTGGGCCCCATTCCAAAGGAAAGTAGGCCAAAGCAAGGCTGGCAAAAAGAAAAACGAACAAATGCGGCCGCAATTCTTTAAAAGTAAATCAAGTTGGTAAGAATGTTTGCTGGTCTACTGTTTCCGGTCTGGCTCGGCGTACATTGCCATGGATAGACGATAGACGATGAATATACGTTGTTGTGTGTGGGTTTTCACAATGAAAACGTTCAAACCTACAACAGAGTACGACGACGTCGACCTTTGGTCCGACACCAAACATCAAAACTGACATAGAAATGTTGCATCGGCGGCTATGTTTGTTTTTTTGCCATAAAGGGCTTTAGGTGAATATCATGACTCACTTTGGAACATGGAGTGTATTTCTAGGCCTATCTGTCGGCAAATTCTTGCAATAATTTTTCTTTTCAGGTTGGTATCTCATTTGTTTAAAACATTCCGAACACACCGCCAATTGTCCTCGGCAGTGTAATGTTTTTTTTTGTTGCTGTGACAGTTGATTGCCGTGGAATTCACTTAACATAATGACCCGAAATAGAATGGACACTTTCAAATCTGACAGAATGAATTTGTGTTCTGTTACCACACCTGAACCTGGGCACTTTGCATGCGATGACGGACGTTTTATGTTGATGAATTTATTGCATGCATATAAAGTGATGTTACAAGTTTCGCCTAGATCCTAGAAAGTAGGTGCAGCTCCTTATTCGCAGGCCATAAGGAATTACATAGTGGGTAGGGTCCGAATCCAAGCAGTATATTTTTTTATTGCAAATACATGAAATTCGTGCAATTAGATTTGGTATAATTAAAACAGTGTTTTTTAGGCATGCATTTTTGGGTTTCATGGTTTTTATTTCATTTTATTATTTTCGTATTTCGATTGACACACATATGTAGTTACATCCTTTTTGGCAAGGCCAGAAAAAAATTAAGGCGTTACACTTATCTGGACACACCTATGATGTAATATGACTAGTGACTTTTCCATATTCTCCACCATAGAAGGGAGTGTATATTCCATTTTTCATAGCATTTTTTACACCAACAAATATTTGCTGGAGACTGCATAAAGTACATTTATTGGTGATTAGTAACTATTTTAACACAATTCATTATTATTATATAATTAAATGTCCATCAAGATACAGTATATAACATACATACATTTGTCACATCAATTTACATTATCTGAAGGATGATTGTTATCGATCATCGTTTTCATATAGCCTTCATTGGTACCTTCCGGTATTCCGGTATATTGATTTAATTCTTGTCACTTTTTTTAAAGGAAAAATTTTTAAGATGAGTTTTTACGTTTGCAATGGACACCAACTCTTAAAGCAGTCAACTGCATACATATTTATTCTTTTATTTTAATCTGATGCTAACAATCACATTCCTCAACGTAATTGATCGGTATAAAGACTCTGTAATGTGTTTTGCTTCAATTGGTTCAAATTTGGTATTTGAAAATCGCAATAGCAGTCCTTGTGGCAGAAAATTAACTGTGTCGGTTCTCATCGCACCTACATATCTTACACTTTATGGTATTTTGAAGACCTAACTGTATTTTCCAATCTATGTCACTGGCATTTGGAGTTTAAAATAGAATTCATTGGAATATTGAGTACCGATATTATTAATTGAATTAATTAATTTTTTTCTGTACCACAAGGTTGAGGGAATTGAAAGTTTGTCCCGGACGAACTTAAAGAAAATATTTCTTATATAGCGAACCACGAGCTTACAGTGATCGGTAGATATATATTTTTTATTCATATATCGACTGAAAACGTCGAATTACGGGAAATGAGTAAGCATAGTGATATGAAAGACATGCATCACAGTATCTTTCTTGTATATGCATTGATTTCAATATGGGGGTTCAATCTGGCGGGGAATATAAGGTGATAATATTCGTGCTACTTTCCGATTTTAATTGTAAAGGCAAAAAAGTAAATTTTCAACTAAGAGGATAGAAAAGTTGCAACATTTAGCCATAGTCTATTAAAATTGCAACGCTTGAAGTCAATTTCTTTGTTATTTGCCATACATTTTTTGTGGAGAATCGCTCATCATTGTAGACATTTCCTCTTGATAAGTCAGACAGTTCTATAGCACAATGGATACCCCAGAACTCAAGTTCACAGACAATAGTTCTTCAAAAATAAAAAATAGCATTTGTATCCTATCGAAAACCTGAAAATGTAAGCCTATTACTTTTTAATGACTATACGGTATAGGTGGAGCGACACCAGACGGACGAACAGGTAGGGGAAAGTTGAAGTAAAAAAAGCACCTAATTTCGGCTCGCCCGAACCTTAATACCCTCAAACACTTTTGGAAGGAAAAATCCGTTGAAAAATGTACAAATTCCGAATAACTTATAGTTAAATGGGACTTCAAGAAAACGTGGATATCCATAAACAATTACATGCCAGCGGGGGCGGTGCCTATTACGAATTCCAGACACCAAGTTTAATATAATTCTGTTGAAAAATCTAGCTAAAATCAAACAATGGGCGATAGCGACAAAAATACTGAAAAATGGGAGATGTGGTTTCTGTCATAGGAAGTAGTATCCATTGTAAACTCTAAATTCGGAATTTGAAGTAATTCAAGTGAAAAGAGTAGCTTAAATCATCAAAATACTGATAATTGGTAGGTGCCGTTATATGGCGGTTAAACGAGAAATTGTTTAATATTTTGTATTTAGAATTTTAAACAATTTCGGTAAACACTTTGACACAAATCATGAAAATACCGAATAAACTTGGATCTATATGGACACTTCTCTGCAATGATAGTTCCTACATATAGGGAACAGAAACTTCCAATCTGCCGGTACAGTTATATGGGGGCTATACCAAAACAGGGCCCATTTTCAATGCCAAACAAATTCTAATTTCGTTCGGACGAACGGACTTGGCTAAATCGACATTGAATCTTACGCTGATCAAGAATTTATGTACTTTGTGGGGACTAAAATGTTTACTTCGAGGAGGTACAAATGGAATGACAAATTTAATATTTTCTCCATACTATGTATGGTGGAGGGTATGAACGGAAAATAGATCAAAAGAAATTAGTATTTTAATTTTACCAACCCGTGTGGTGGTGTAGGTTTCTAATGGCCATTAACTATTTGGATTTATAAATTAATGTGAATATGAAATATACCCTATAAGATAAGAAATACACCATTTCTTAAACAATTTATGAACTCGGAATTATCAGCAATTTAAGATAATCAGATAATTTTGTTTTGCTTTTTGTTATTAAAATACAAGAGCCATAAACAATTTTCTAATTTTTCTTTTGGTTTTTCTTTCCATTTACAGGACAATTATAATGTGCTGCATATTGCAGCAATGTATTCGCGTGAGGATGTCGTAAAGCTGTTACTGAACAAACGTGGTGTTGACCCTTTTTCAACAGGAGGGGTAAGTTTGCTCCCATGATGGGAAATTTCCAAACAAAAATAAGCGAGGAGGAGTATTTTTTCCTTGGAAAATTCGTTATTCGTTGGTAGGTTCGTTTTAAACTAGAAAACATTCTTGGGAAAATTCCTGCGTGTCATTAGGTAAAGGTCAAGCAGCAGGAGTAAACTAATTGCCACATGCCATTGCAACTTCTTGTTTGCATTTTTTCTTGCAGGAGGTTCCAAGTTTTGAAGTGCCATACAATTTAATGGCAGTATTATTATTATTTTTTGTTTTCTTACTCATGGCTTGAAGTTTATTGCATAAAGTTAATTTCGGACTAGATGCACAGCGAGCCCAAGGAAACGTCACGGGGGTCCGTGCTGTTGTGTGACCAAATTTCATTAAAGGGCTGTGCGGCCCAAACGCCAAGTTCAACTCAATTAAGTGTCACAAGGTTGGTCGGTTAAATTATTTGCATTTTTATGCTTTTAAAATAAGGCTCAGCTGAAAACGGAGCGAATGCATGATTTCTATCAGATGACCTTGACTGACGTTTGTAAAGAGAACCGAACTGATTAAAAAAAAAAACATTATTCAAGAAAAACATCGAGCACGTGCAGTGTCGTCAAACCGTATTGGATTGATAACATTTATACATATGTTATGTACATACATAAATATTTACATATGTTCATAATAATTTTGATTTGCGCTTCAAGGCATAATTGTAAAAACAACAATCATGTGATTTAGCCTGAGTGTTTTGCAAGAACAAAATAATTGCGATATCCCAAATAAAATGCGAAAACTTTTCGAATTATTTTTAAGTTACTCAGCGACACTCACTTACTCACCATTCACTTTTTCATGCGAATATCCGTAAACGACCTAAAGAACAGTAAAATCGCAATAAAAGCTATAACAACCCAAACAGTAAATTCAAAAACTGTATTGAAATGTAGAAATTCAATCAAAAACTATTCAAAACACTGTTCAGTACGCATCACATGGACACCAGGTCATGTGTAAATTAGAGGTAACGAAATTGCGAATTCTCTCGGCAAAACAGGTAGGGGGTTAGCAGTCACGTGGCAAATGCGTCACGTCCCTTTGAAGGCCTAGAGAAAACCACAAAAATCCTATGGGCCGACCCTATTGAGATACAAACGGAGAACCTTCTATTTTTAGGTAAGAAGGAGATTAGTGGGGTAACAGACATCCTTACGGGCCACCTGGGACTACAAGCTCATCTGTACAAGATAGGTTGTGCAGATAACAGCATATGCAGGACATGCGGGATGAAACTTTGGAACATTTTCCCTGCCAATGTTCAGCATTTGCAAATATCAGACTCCAATTCTTAGAGAAAGACTCCTTACCAGACCTAAATCAGATCATCGGAAATGAAATAACACAGTTAAGGATTTTGTAAGGGCAACTGAAGTTCGATTCAATATAGAGCGCACAGCAGGTCTATACTGGCTTATGTGCATGTCTAGCAGAGAATGTGATGACCGTGTTGGCCCCTCTTTTCAATCTAACGAAATCTAACTATAACCTATGCGAATATCAAAGCACGTATGTTTTTACGGTATGGTAGAAACTAAGGTTACAATCATTTTGAGAATCGCATATCCTTCATAGCTTCAGCAAAAAAGGATACAGCAGTTACAGCGATTTCATTAGCAGTTTATAATCATGCGGAATATGTGAGTTATTAAAGCTTGGCCACAGTACTTCCAAACGGTACAACTAGTCTACCGGCGATCTGCTGAGGAAAGAAAACAAATATTTCAGTTTGTATGAGAACAGCGAACTTGTAAATATTTTAAAACAATCCTTTAAAATCGACTTATAAGTCAATCGGATTCTAGTAAACATTCAACTAAATTTTACTCGTTTAAAAACTTTTTCAATATATCTCCATTCTTCTGAGAATATCGGAATATTGCGCAATGTATGTATGCAACGTATCTGAAAGTGTTACATATTTTTCAAGCGCAGAAATGTTGTTTATTCTTGCAAACGAAGAAACAAGGCTTATATTGTCAAGTAGTGATAATATCTTCAATTTTAATGTAGAGTATGTGTGTCGTGGATTTGTTATATTTTCATATTCGAGTGGATGCACAGTTCTTCCTATGCTTGGCAAGTTGCTAAACTCATCAAAAGTTGCAACTGATGAGACACGGAGTTGTTGTCTAGTTCCACTGCGCAAGTTATAAATGGAATGCGAGGCAGGGCATGTCAATCTTCAGGATTTTTAAAACAAATATAATTACCAACGATAGAAAAAACCTGCAAATTTACAATGGAAATATCATAAGTAGAAGGTTCGACAATTGTTGATAGCTGGGGAATAAATTCAGTTGCTATTGAGTTTTCCTAGGAACTGCAACAGATTTTGCAATAATTATTGATTTTAACTACATTTTGTTTGTAATTTTTTCAGTCACGTTCACAAACGGCAGTCCATTTGGTTTCCAGCCGACAAACAGGAACAGCAACAAACATTCTGAGAGCATTATTGGCAGCAGCTGGAAAGGATATACGACTTAAAACAGACGGTGTAAGTAAATAACGCATAAGACTAGTCGGCACTTTGTTTGTGTGAATAGAAGTCCAAAGACCCTGTTCCCATTAATCTAATAATTACCTTCATCATAGCGACTAAATATGTTAATGACGGAAGTGCGGATTTTAAGTATCATAGTATGAAATCTTCTTAGTGGTTATAATAACAGCATTTCATCCAGTTCAGTTAATCTGGATGGAATATAAAAAAGGTTTGAATGCTACCAGACAAAAACAATAAAAATCAAAAGAACATGAAAATTGATTGATGGAGTCGGAATGTAGTCGTAACAGTCGGTACCAACGTAAACATAAACATTTCCGTTTTGGCCTAAAGCTAAGCTAAACAACCCCTTCAGTCGCGACGCAGACAACAATACCGCCAATATTGGTAGACACACAGCAACGAATAGCAATAGGCGAACAGGTAGCGAGGGTGCCTAGGAACTGACAGAAAGACAGACAACAATAATGCAAATACATAACTACACACACAAACTTCTATACACCCGCATATTTTCTAACACCTCCCTTAGCCCCCAAAGGGACTGTATTGAAATATTTACTTGTTTATAATACTCTAGTAAAAGGGACGGTCTGAATTATTTCTCAACAAATCGAATTGAAGATCAAAAATTAAATGAAAACAGATTTTGATAATAAAGCCGCTGTGCCTAGTTGCTGATTCTCTAAATAGCTATGATTCAGTTTAGAAGTAAAATCAAATTGGCATTGCGTTAGCCATACTTAACGATGGAGAGATTAGTCTGGATGGAAAAGCAATTGTGGTTTTATTTGAATTGGTGGCTTTAACACATAAGTAATAATCGGCAAGGACAGCTTACATCCTCTAAAATTTCGTTGGACCATTGTTCTAGACATCATAACAAAAATTTTTATATAAACTAAAATATTTTTATTCTCAGTAGTTTTTTCCCTTCCATACAATTTATGTCTAGGTCCGCATTTTGATGTAAGGGTGTTTTGTATATACATTAAACAATAATACTAGGTTTGAAGGTTGTTTTTTAATTACAATTGTTTGTAGAAATACTGTCAATTTATGGGGTTTTCAATTGTATTAATTCGATATATTTTTAGTTTATTTAAAAAATTAGAAATAAATAATCAGATGAAAAAAAAAAAAAAAATAGAATAAAAAAATAGTAATTAAGTAGAAGATATTATATTAGAAGTATCAATATTACAATCAATATTAATTAATATCAATATTATTGACTTAACTTACTTAATTGATTTTAGGCGTATATTTCAATAGAATTTTCTCAATTTACTGAATAAGATCCTATGAAAGAGGTTAATTAATAGTAGTCATCAAGTTGCTTGGAATTTGTATATGTTTGTACAAAAAAAATCTAATTCTCTTTATTTCAAACATTTTTGAAATCTTTTCAAAATATTAAACATGCCGACAAACACATTGAAACAGGGCCAATAACTAGTTATGTTTTGCACCTCCACCTTGAAGGGAGGGTACTTAAGTAACATTCGTAAATATTCGGCGTAGACTCCATAAAGTATATATATTCATAATCAGCATAAAATTCTAAGTCTATTTAACGATGTCCGTCTGTCTGCTGAAATCACGATGCAGCCCGCATTATTTGACGTAGATCTTAAAAAATCCGTTGATAAATTTGTATTGCTAGGATGGTTGGTATTAAAAATGTCCATATCGGTTCAAGTTTTGGAATAGCCACCTTATAACGGTACCTCCTGATATTCGGTATTTTGATGATTTTTGAACACATTTGTCTAAAAATTGGTGTTTGTAGTTCGTAATGGGCACATTGTATTAAAAGTTCGGTCCGGGCGAACTTAATATTTTTTTACTTGTTTTAATTAAATTTTACTTTCAGTAAAACGTTTATTACATTTTTAAAGATTTCTGCGAAATATTCAAACTAGACAAATACTTTGCGATCTTTTATTTTCAAATAAATTTTAAACTTCTATTTTCTCTTCATAGAGAGGAAAAATACCCCTGCTACTGTCTGTTGAGGCTGGCAATCAGTCGATGGTTCGAGAGCTGTTATCGGCACAAACGGCCGAACAACTGAAGGTAAGAGTTTTTAATTTATAATTTACATTTTACATTTATATATATTGTACATTCCGTGACCACATTGAGGATAGAATTGCAAAGAGAAAATCTTAACTTCGGCTCAAATATTTCGAATCTTTCGGGAAACAAAGCAAGTTTTTCGTTGATAAAATTTTACTAAGAATATGGGGAATAGCCACATTCTTAAGAAGAATTTCATAAGAAAACAAATGCAAGAATTGAAATGAATATCAAGTCTTAGCCTCAAAGCACCCCACAACCCATAGACCATTTGTGGAATCAGTCGTCAGTATTAAAAATTCCCATAGTTTGCCAATAAAAAATGTGTAACGCGCGATGACAAAAAAAGTAATTCAAACACGCCACAAAAGTCAAGGCTTTTCGCCTCTGGCATCCACATACGTGCGAGTGTGCGAGTCTGTCTGCACAGGTGTACATTCATCGCTCTATTATTCTCACATTAAATAATTAAGTTTTACTTAACGCAAGGTGTTAAATTATCAGTGACATGACTGGCTCTGCTGCAACACCCTCCCATAGATCAAAGTTAGTAATCCTCTCCCGGCGAGAGAGGTGGATATGGCACACCAGTTCATTCGCCTCGACCCAAAGGTGCAGATTGTCATTTTCGAACTGCGAACTTTAATACGACACAATAATTGCAAAAGAAGCGGCTGAGAATGATTTTGCGTGTTGAGGCAATTTAGCGAATTTCAATTTCACGACAATCTCCTCAACGTGCGTACACTGCGAGAAATGGCGAGAGGCCAGTGATGAGGATTACATTTCGCAGAGAATGTGTAAATGGCGCATGTGACAAATCTTCTGCTTTTGCAAGTCACACTTGCCACGCATAGCTATGGACACATGTGTCCTTTTCATCTGGAATTGTATCCTTCAGTTTTATTTGAAGCGTCGCTATGGAAGGACCATACGAAGGGAAGTTACGTGTAGATTTCTTGGAATGCTATCGCAACAATCCGGAGCTTCTAAAGGAAAAGTGTAGTGTACGGCGACCTCCTGTGTACCCACATGACAATCGAAATAAATGACCGAAAGTGACTGGCCACTTAGTGTGTTGAAGGCGCAAAATGACGTGATTGTCCAATTAAACAGCAAGGAGTGTTTCGTGGCATGGCTGAAGTAGTTGTGTACGAAAAGAGTGTGAACCGCCACAATTACCATTTCTTGATTAACCAACTGGGAGTGGTAATTGTGTTTTTTTTCCTAGGGAAAAATCACGAGCCTGCGTTAGGTGGAATTTTGGAAGTTATCTTGTAACATATTTTGAAATGCAAGTTTACCATAATTTCATCATTCAAAACTAAAACGTGATTTTGTATTTTTTGAAAATATTGTTATTTAATGGGAAAATTTTATTAATTGCCTGCCCTATGAAACAGATGATAGCATCACGGATCATCATTAGCTCTACAAATTTTTTAGGTGCTGCATTGTAGTTCAGAGTTCAGTACACCAGTTCCTAAGCGTATGAGTGATTTCGTATGTTTCATATCACTTATACGCGGAGTTTTCATAAAAAAAAACGACCGTAGTCCACGGAACTAGATAAGGAACAAATTCTTTCGATCGATCCATATTTGTTCTATGCTCTCTTTGCTCCATGTTTATTTTCACAAATAAACCATGAAATTGCACATGTAGCAGTTGCTCTGTCTGCTATATTTTAATATTCGACAGAATATCCCTACTAATAATTTAATGTATTGAGGATTTTGAAGCAAAAAGTGGAAGAAGTTTATAAAAACTGTCAAGAATTTCAATTAGTTATTTCTGTAATTAATGTTTTTTTTTTTTTTTTTAAGGAAATCCTTGAATGTCGATTTGGCAAAGCAAATATGAGTTACTAAAAAAACTTGAGCATTTTATCATTAGGGTATTTAAGGAAACAATTTCCATGCAATAATTATACCCTACACCACATAGTGGTAAGGGTATTATGTCTTTGCGCATTTGTTTGTAACATGGAGAAGGAAACGAGATAGACCCATAGTTACTTTTGAGAACCTTCATAGAATCACTTTCTGAGTCGATTTATGCATGTCAGTCCGTCTGTCCGTCCGTCCGTCCGTCTGTCCATGTATTCTTGTGAACAAAATGCAGGTCGCATTTATTATCCGATTGAGATGAAATTTTCCAAACAATATTTTTTTGGCCCAAGGACGAACCCTATTGAAATTGGTGAGAATCGGATCAAATTTAGATATAGCTCCCATATATATCTTCATCCGATTTCAGGTTAAATGTGCACCAAATATTCACTATCAGTTCAAATTACCTGAATTTTGGCACACCCAACCGAGTTCGGCCTAGAAGCAAGTATATGAAATTTGGAGAAAATCGGTTCAGATATAGCTATAGCTCCCATATATATCTTTCATCCGATTTGATCTTTAAGTCCCTCACATTCCTACTATGCACTCCACAACCGTGATATTTGGTACCAGGTATTAGATGGAGCACAGAAATAGCTGTTTTAAATTTTATCGAAATCGGTTCAGATTTGGATATAGCTCCCATATATATCTTCATCCGATTTCGGGTTAACTGACCACCAAATGGCCAATATCAGTCCAAATGACCCGAATTTTGGCACATGTGACCGAGATTAGCCTTAAAGCAAATACAACAAATTTGGAGAAAATCGGTTCAACAGCTATAGCTCCCATATATATCTTCATCCGATTTCGGGTTAAATGTGCACCAAATGTCCACTATCAGTCCAAATTACCTGAATTTTGGCACACCCAACCGAGTTCGGCCTAGAAGCAAGTACATCAAATTTGGAGAAAATCGGTTCAGATATAGCTATAGCTCCCATATATATCTTTCATCCGATTTGGTGTTTAAGCCTCTCACATTCGTAATATGCACTCCACAAGAATGATATTTGGTACCATATATAAGATACAGCCCAGAAATAGCTGTTTGTAATTTTATCGAAATCGGCTCAGATTTGGATATAGCTCCCATATATATCTTCATCCGATTTCGGGTTAATTGTGCACCAAATGGCCGATATAAGACCAAATGGACTGAATTTTAGTACATCGGACCAAATTCAGCCTAGAAGCAAGTATATCAAATTTAGTGAAAATCGGTTGAGATATAGATATAGCAACCATATATATGTTTCATCCGATTTAGAGTTTTAGTCCCATACATTCGTAATATTCACTCCACAACCGTGATATTTGGTACCAGGTATTAGATGGAGCACAGGAGTAGCTGTTTTAAATTTTATCGAAATCGGTTCAGATTTGGATATAGCTCTCATATATATCTTCATCCGATTTCGGGTTAAATGTGCACTAAATGGTCAATATCAGTCCAAATCACCAGTCTAGAAGCTAATACGTAAAATTTGGAGAAACCCGGTTCAGAGATAGCTATAGTTCGTAAAATGCACGATAGAATTAGATAGATTTTGATTTTGTACCAAATATCTCATAGAGCTCTGAAATGCCCTGTATAAACCTTTTTACGAGAGCTCTACTAAATAAGCATAGAGGTGTAGGGTATCATATAGTCGGCCCCGCCCGACTTTTGAGCTTTCCTTACTGGTTTTTGTTTCTTTATATTTTCTAGAATTTGTCCAAAAATGTATTTAAAATAAAAAATGTGGAAAAGAAGAAATCTAGCAATTCTTACTCATTCTATAAAAATTTGATAGCAATGCCAAACCATGTACTTTAAGGAGAAATAAAACAAGATTCGTAAATAAAGTTAGCTGTATGTAGGTAAAATTAACGATAATTGTGGATAACAGCTATATTTTTGCTTCTAATTTCGGTCATGCCGAATTTATTAAATAATAATGCAAAAACAAAATAGGAGCTAAGATCTGCCAATGTAAACAATGTTCACTATTACACGAATGTCTGGCTTTTCAAAGTTACAATTTTTTTATTGCTAGTAGCTAAATGGCTAAAGAATCCCAATACAGGTTAGCTTGATGGACGCCATTCCAACTTCTTTCAGTGTATCTTGTTATAAGAAATGAAACACGCAACTTTCCATCAAAGAATTTGAATGCGAACAAGCAACAACTTACATTTAACCACTCCGCTCGAAACGTGCTCATACATACGTACGTATATATGTTGGTACATATGGCAGGATGTGTTTCTCAGTATTCGCAACGTATGTAATCAATTTGTTATTGTTGCGAATTTTCACCTGAAGTACCCACACTCACACTCTCACATCACACAGATATGTCGAAATAATTAAACTTTATCGAAATGATTTGCTTCGTACGCTCTGCCACCGGTTGCTTGAAATGTCGGAGCTCGCACGCCGACTGAATGGCTAAGTTTGCCAAGTAACTTTTGTCGTAGATAAAGCAGAAAGAAAACAAAAACAAAATATGGGCTGGAAACTTCGTTCGAGTTGAACACACATCATCTGCCCTGCAAGCATGGCCTCGACTGCTATTGGCCCTCAGATTGCAACTGCAACGAGGGAGTGGGTCGGCACCACACAAATGTTGTTTGTGTTGTTGTTGTTTCGATTAATGTGCAACATGCGCTGCTCCGACTGATTTGCATCTGGCCCACATTAACTTTGACCTTCAGCATAAATTTGAGCAATTTCCTTTTCTTCTTCGGTCTTTTTCGCATAGCATGTGCGGTGGCATGCAACAATCTTGACATAATATCTCAAATATTTAATTTGGTTCACAGGCAACCGCTGCTAATGGAGATACGGCATTGCATTTGGCCGCCAGACGGCGGGACGTCGACATGGTGCGCATTTTGGTCGACTACGGTACGAATGTCGATACGCAAAATGGAGAAGGTCAAACGCCACTGCACATTGCTGCCGCTGAAGGCGATGAAGCGCTGCTGAAGTACTTCTATGGCGTCAGAGCCTCCGCCTCCATAGCCGACAATCAAGGTGAGTTGAATTGGCCGCGTAGGGAAGAGCCTCATTAATTTGCCTAATTTTGCCGAATTTCAGATCGCACTCCGATGCACTTGGCTGCGGAAAATGGACATGCCCATGTCATCGAAATATTGGCGGACAAATTCAAGGCTAGCATATTTGAGCGCACGAAAGATGGCAGCACGCTCATGCACATTGCGTCCCTCAATGGTCATGCGGAATGCGCAACAATGCTGTTCAAGAAAGGTGTATATCTGCACATGCCAAATAAGGATGGTGCCCGGAGCATTCACACGGCTGCTGCCTATGGCCATACGGGCATTATCAACACCCTCCTCCAGAAGGGGGAGAAGGTCGATGTGACGACTAATGTGGGTATCGTACAACAATTTTGAATGAAGCGTTACTAATGTTTGGGTCTATGTTTAGGACAATTACACAGCCTTGCACATTGCTGTAGAATCAGCCAAGCCGGCTGTGGTGGAAACTCTGTTGGGCTTCGGCGCCGATGTACATGTCCGCGGAGGTAAAATGAATGAAACCCCTTTGCATATAGCCGCTAGAGTTAAGGATGGCGATCGATGTGCTTTAATGCTCCTTAAGTCCGGTGCTAGTCCCAATTTAACTACCGATGATGGCCTGACGCCGGTGCATGTTGCCGCCCGTCATGGCAATCTGGCCACGCTGATGCTACTCCTCGAAGATGACGGCGACCCCCTCTACAAGTCCAATGTAAGTATCTGAGTGCGGCCGACAGACATGAGTTGAGATGAGGTGACACACTAATTGTGGGGCGATTGTTTTCAGACCGGTGAAACACCTCTTCATATGGCTTGCCGTTCTTGTCATCCCGAGATTGTGAAACATTTAATCGATGTCTGCAAAGAGAAGCATGGACCAGACAAAGCCACCACCTACATCAACTCCGTGAACGATGACGGGGCCACCGCTTTACATTACACATGCCAAATTACCAAGGAGGAGGTGAAGATTCCCGAATCCGATAAGGAAATCGTTAGAATGCTACTGGAGAATGGGGCCGACGTTTCGCTCCAGACGAAGAACGCTTTGGAGACGGCCTTCCACTACTGTGCCATGGCAGGCAACAACGACGTGTTGATGGAGATGATAGCCCACATGAACCCCACTGAAATTCAAAAGGCCATGAATCGACAGTCCTCGGTGGGGTGGACGCCCCTGTTGATAGCCTGCCACAGAGGCCACATGGAACTGGTCAACAACCTTTTAGCGAATCATGCCAGAGTTGATGTGTTTGATATTGAAGGTCGATCAGCGCTGCATTTGGCTGCCGAGCGGGGCTACCTGCACGTGTGCGATGCTCTGCTCACCAACAAGGCCTTCATCAATTCCAAGTCACGCGTTGGTCGCACGGCGTTGCATCTGGCCGCGATGAACGGTTTCACGCATCTCGTGAAGTTCCTCATTAAGGATCACAACGCCGTCATCGACATTTTAACATTGCGCAAACAGACGCCACTTCATCTTGCTGCGGCCAGCGGCCAGATGGAGGTATGTCAGCTCCTACTTGAGTTGGGAGCTAACATAGACGCGACCGACGATCTGGGACAGAAGCCGATACATGTCGCCGCGCAGAACAACTACTCAGAAGTGGCCAAATTATTCCTGCAGCAGCATCCATCGCTGGTGAATGCGACGAGCAAGGACGGCAACACCTGCGCGCACATCGCAGCCATGCAGGGTTCGGTGAAGGTAATCGAAGAACTGATGAAATTCGATCGATCTGGCGTGATATCTGCTAGAAATAAATTGACTGATGCCACGCCGCTACAACTGGCTGCCGAGGGAGGTCACGCGGACGTGGTGAAAGCTTTGGTACGAGCCGGGGCCTCCTGTACGGAGGAGAATAAGGCTGGTTTCACGGCGGTACATCTCGCTGCCCAGAACGGACATGGCCAGGTATTGGATGTTCTAAAGAGCACGAACTCTTTGAGGATCACCAGCAAGAAATTGGGACTGACACCGTTGCATGTGGCCGCCTATTACGGCCAAGCAGACACGGTGCGGGAACTGCTGACTAGCGTGCCAGCCACGGTGAAATCCGAAACGCCCACAGGCCAAAGCCTGTTCGGGGAACTGGGTACGGAATCGGGAATGACGCCATTACATTTGGCGGCTTTTTCTGGAAATGAGAATGTCGTTCGTCTACTGCTGAATTCGGCAGGAGTGCAAGTGGACGCGGCCTCAACGGAAAACGTAAGTGCATCCCGCCGACTTATCTCTGACACGCGTCTAACCAACACACTTCTCTTCACAGGGCTATAATCCACTTCATTTGGCTTGCTTCGGTGGTCACATGTCAGTGGTTGGTTTGCTTCTGAGTCGGTCCGCAGAACTCCTTCAGTCGACCGATCGTCATGGTCGCACTGGCCTCCACATAGCTTCCATGTACGGTCACTTTCAAATGGTGGAGATTCTGTTGGGGCAAGGCGCAGAAATAAATGCAACCGACAAAAACGGTTGGACGCCACTGCATTGTGCCTCCAAAGCCGGCCACTTGGAGGTGGTGAAACTTCTTTGCGAGGCCGGAGCATCGCCGAAATCGGAGACAAATTACGGATGTGCTCCTATTTGGTTTGCTGCCTCCGAGGGTCATAACGATGTCCTGCGCTATCTGCTGAACAAGGAACACGACACGTACGGTCTAATGGAGGACAAACGGTTCGTGTACAATCTCATGGTTGTATCGAAGAACAACAATAACAAGCCGATACAAGAGTTTGTTCTGGTGGCCCCTGCTCCGGTTGACACCGCAGCAAAGCTGTCCAATATCTACATTAACTTATCCACCAAGGTGAGCAAGGAGAAAAACTTCATTTAACAGTTTTAATGACACTGGTCTTCTGTAGGAGAAAGAGCGGGCAAAGGATCTCGTAGCTGCCGGAAAGCAATGCGAAACCATGGCCACCGAACTACTCGCTTTGGCTGCTGGCTCCGATTCGGCTGGGAAGATTCTACAGGCAACGGACAAAAGAAATGTGGAATTTCTCGACGTGCTAATAGAGAATGAACAGAAGGAAGTCATTGCCCATACCGTGGTCCAAAGATACCTGCAGGTAACTTCCAAATTTGCATCTGTATTCGGAGATATACAATTTGAGCTTTGTTCTTTTGCCTAATGCAGGAACTCTGGCGGGGATCGCTGACGTGGGCATCTTGGAAAATTTTACTACTCTTGGTTGCCTTCATTGTGTGCCCACCGGTGTGGATTGGTTTCACCTTTCCAATGGGTCACAAATTCAACAAAGTGCCTATAATTAAGTTCATGTCCTACCTTACCTCCCACATCTTCCTAATGATCCATCTCAGTATTGTTGGTATTACGCCTATATATCCGGTGCTGCGTCTCAGTTTGGTCCCCTACTGGTACGAAATAGGTTTGCTCATTTGGTTGAGTGGCTTACTTTTGTTCGAGTTGACGAATCCGTCCGACAAGTCGGGACTGGGATCAATCAAGCTACTTGTGCTGCTGCTGGGCATGGCCGGCGTGGGTGTCCATGTGGCGGCATTCTGCTTCGTTTCCAAGGAGTATTGGCCGACACTCATCTATTGCCGTAATCAGTGCTTTGCATTGGCCTTCCTGTGTGCCTGTGTGCAAATATTGGACTTTCTCTCGTTCCATCACCTGTTCGGACCATGGGCCATCATTATCGGTGACCTGCTGAAGGATTTGGCGAGATTTCTTGCTGTCTTGGCCATATTCGTATTTGGCTTTTCCATGCACATTGTGGCTCTGAATCAATCGTTTGCGAATTTTACGCCCGAGGAGTTGCGTTCTTTCGAGAAACGTAACCGCAATCGTGGTTACTTCAGCGATGGTAAGTCACAGTGTTCCAAGTGCGATTTTATTGTTATGTTTTGTTTCAGTGCAAATGGATCTGTGAGTGTATGTATGTTGAATATGATTTATTCGATTATTATTATTTTTTTATGTATGTATGTGTGTGAGCGTGCGTCGCTATCGATTATGGAAATCAATGGCGATATCGATGAGTATCTATCTATCGATGTTGTGGTTATATCTTTGCATGCTGAACAATTACAGACCCTTTGTGTTCTATCTAATAATAACTGCCCGCATTCATTTACAGTGGTCATGAGGACCAAAAGAGGAAAATCAGAAATTATTAAAAAAATAGCAAAATGTATTTATATTTGACAATTGAGTTCGAATTTACTTAGATACTATCCATTGTAGATTTAGGAAGGTACAAAAATCATGCAATCGTATGTTTACAATTTTTTTTTTTCAAAATTATTCATTTGACAATATCTCATTGTCGAAATGTATATTTACAAATCCACAGATAAATCCATTGTATAATTATTACAGGTAACAGCAAGTCCCATCTGATTTGACTCTATAGTAATACTAGTGTCAATCTCGATATGACGTTTTGAGATTTAATCTTATTTCTTTATATACAATAGGTATACCTTTCTTTGATATAAAATTTCACTGCAGGACAATGTGAATATATTTTTTGTCTGAATGCGATGGTTCGGGAACTTTTTTGCGGTTAAGGAACAGCGACACCACGTTGGATAATATATTCGTATATTTCAAGTTTCTTAAAATTGCAAAATGTAGAATACTTTATGTATGTATGCAGAGATGGAACAGCTAATTATTTGAAATGACTTCACCATTCTAATTTTACCATGATACTTGTTCCAGAACCTGCAAGAATCAACTAGTTTTGCAATTTTTTTTTCGATCTAAAAAAATGGAAAATCGATATCGTAGTAAAAACTTTTACATTCTTGCAGTTCGGACACAGACCAACTATCTATGCAGCCCTACATAACTACATGTGGGAAGGCTTCAGTAGTTTATTGGTGTCATGCATAAAGATTATTTTTTAGCTGAGTGCAAAGTTTATCTGAGGTCGGATTAAGTTTTATTTTATACGTCCCAAGATGTTTTCTGTCTCATGGATCCAGTATAAATTCCATCACACAAAGTGTTCACCCTTTTCTTAGTTATGTTTTTTGTTCTTCTTTTTTTCCAAATTATTATTTTAAAATTAAAAAATAAGTTATCTGGTTGATCCATTGTAAATGAATGCTGCGCAAGAATAATCTAGGTGCCTTAGACAACACATGTATTTTATGAAAATTCCTATAATCGTTTCATACCCTTTGTATGTGTTTAGATGATATGCCAACTCCTCGTCCACCGCCACCAGAGAATTACGTGGATTCGAGTCGTAGTATGCTAAGCGAATTCCGGCGCAAGCACAAAGATGATCGTAAGTGTCGATTGGCTCCATTGGGGCGGCGTCCTTTTTTCAATGTCCTCAATGTGAATGATTTGTAATAGCCTTCGGTGTTGTGTGTTTGTGTGTAAACATCTTTTATTTACAGTTGTGTCTCTTAACAATATTTCCACTTCTGTGTGCTCCTCAATTCTGGCCGGAATAATTCCGAAAGAAGCTTGCTAAGGGCCTGCTGTGGGCTATGGCATGATGGCTCCGCAGTTTATTTGTGCGACAATTAAGTGTTCAGATTTTTTGTTTTACTTTGTGTGCATCCCTTGGTGTTGTGGAAAAGTGTTGTAAAATCCATAATTACAATTATAACTTACACATGTTTGGTTTTGTTCATTTGTTTCGTTTGATTCAAAAATCGGTATGAGGTTACATGATATAAGATGTCTTAACATAATTTTTATAGTTTTCGGCACACCTTGCTTCAGTTCATTTCATATAGTTCATATTGGATATTATTAGAAAGCCTTTATAAATCCATATTCTTTCCAAAGATCCCAGAAGGCCTTGATAGACTTTAGAAATGTTATAAACTCTATGAATACTCTCTGTTAGAAATAATTTAAAATTTCTCGTGGGTAGACAGGTATGTGGCAAAACCTAAATTTTATCAAAAATTCAAAATTCCTTATTCTTGTTCATGATCAACAACGCAATGTATGGAGAGAGTCTCTCTGAAATTAACTGTCGATATATTTTATGAAGGTGTGTCGAATAGATCACTCAAAAATTTATATGCATGTTATTCTGATCAGCTTACAGTGGCTTCACAATATAATTTTTGTTTTTTTTTTTTACGAAAAGGACACATAAAGGGATGAAAAAAAACTCTAATCCAATAATACCGATTTATACAAAAATTTGCAGTTCAATTCTCATAGGTAAATACCAATACACCTTTTCGTTTGTTTATTTTTATTTTTACTGCATATTCAAGATTTTATTTTTGTTTTTTTTTCTGTCAAACAACACTCTTGCATGTCTCAATAAATATGTGTTTTTTTTCTTAAATTCTATTTTAATATTGATGTGCTATAATTAAAAATAAGGAAGCATGTTGGTGTCCAAAACTAATAAGAAAACAAAAAAAAAAAAAACAACAACAATGACGATATTCATATTTTATTAATTTTGTCTATGTACAATAAGAACAACAAATATAGTGATAATGATAATTACGGCTTTTGACGCTTTCCACACATTCAGAAGTGCACAGAAAAATAAAACAAAATTCAATAAAAAAAATAAAGCAAAGCTAATGGTATAGCACCGAATGATGTTTCTGCTCCTCAAAGCAAATCTGAATGGAAATGATTAAACAATTTTTTGATATTCCTCCTCCTCCTCCCCCTACTCCTCTGCGCCATGTTCGCCATGTTCCTACTTCCATGCCAATGCATGCACCACGAAACGCATTTTGCAGGACCTATGACTCCATTCTTGGCCTTTGAGCGTCTATTCTTTGCTGTGTTTGGCCAAACGACCACGGTTGACATAAATCCAATGCGACATCTGAGGCCTGAGTGGACCGAGGTTCTATTTAAACTTGTCTTTGGCATCTATCTGCTGGTGTCTGTGGTTGTTCTCATAAATCTCCTGATAGCCATGATGTCGGATACTTATCAACGCATTCAGGTTGGTATTTGGAAACTAATGCAACTCTCTTTTGTTTGGTATTTTCTATTTCTTGGGTGCGATTGCAATTGGACATCTCATCGACGCCCTCACAATGGCTAAACCTGTCATCGTTCGTCACTGACACTGCCATCGTCATCATCGAAACCAACGACATTCCCATTCAATGCGACATCGTCACTGTGGCACTTCGGGTGTTCGTGGATATTTGCGTGGGCGTTGACTACCTTTTTATTTTTGTTCAATGCGATATGATTTCCGTTATCATTATTTCGACTGTCTCGTGTGTGTGCGTACGCTGTGCTGTGTAACCCGCAATCATCCCCTCTGGTTGGGGTTGGGATGTTGCGCTCGCCACCGCCTTCGGCTATTGGAACGGTATTGGCGAATGGGCTCGACTCCACAGTGCGCATGCATCCGATACATTCTTTTGAGTTATTATTCTTTGCCGTGTTTGGTCAAACGACGACCGAACAGACACAGGTTGACAAAATCAATAGTGTAAACGCGCCCACTCAACCCTACTGGGTGGAGTATCTGTTCAAGATAGTGTTCGGTGTCTATATGTTGGTGTCGGTGGTAGTGCTAATTAACCTGCTAATTGCTATGATGTCCGATACCTATCAGCGGATACAGGTAGTATTTCTTTTTATGGATTCACTTAAAAATTGACCAAACTATTACCGATTATTCAATTCATCTACAAATTATTTATTTTTTATTGTTAACCACAACGAATAAAGTTCTATTTCAGCATTAGGTAATCGTATTGATTCCTAGTACCCAGCATGCATGCATTCAGGATTTCCAAAGACTTTATTTGAATACCAAAGAAAGCATAAAACCAGTGGCAACATTTTTCTATACAAAAACTATAGTTTTTGTAGTGACCTAAATTGTAGACCCATTTCATAAGGAGCAATGACATTTCAGTAGAGAATTTATCATAAAATATGTTGTTAGAATTTGTGGCGAGAATATGCCAAAGAACATTGTTGCGTATACATGATAAGTTCTCGCTGCGTATACGCAATGTTTCACTGCATTTGTTGATTGTGTTCCAAATCATTCGAAATTAAAATATTTCAAAAATACATCAAATCAAATTTTGGGCCGCATATGTTTCTAATATTTTAGCATTCATTTACAAAAATAGGTGTTTACTGCAAATTTCCGATATGTAACCATAATGCATGAAACTTAAACTATTGTGCAAAAATGAGAGCAGTGACTGAATTCGGCTACACATGGAGTTTGCGAACATAATGTTTATACCCTGGGGAGGCTATTATAATAATCAAAGGTGTTGTTCCTCCGATCAGCTTAAATATACACACATTTTATAGCATTGTCAGGAAGTGGCGAGTCCCGATGGAGAGTAATATGTGTTGAAAATATTCAACATTTTTTGACTACTAACTCTGCTTCTGTGTGTTGGTGTGTTTAACATGCCTTGTACATTGTTGCCCCATACGCCAATGGAGTTAAGCAAGACTCGGAAATGCGGCAACTGTATTCAAGAAACCGTAACTTCCGTTGTAGCCTGAGATTGATTTGATTTGAATGGAGTGAAAGCATATAGTACCTATGATATGCTTGCAAATAGTCAGAAAAATGAATCATTTGTATTCTTTTAACACAAGCTACTCGGATGTGTCCATCTTTTCTACTCAGGACAATTATCGCAATTATCACATGAGTCATTTAGATTTTAATGGATCTTTGTGTTAATAAATTTCTATCCCACTCCACATTGTGGTACAGAATAAATAAATTGTGTGTAAAATGCAGATGGAGACAATAGACCAACAGTCTTATAATAACTATTTTCTGAGTCAGTGTATGAATGCTGATTTAATTTGGTTGCAAATTGCAAAGTTCCTATTAAATTCTTCACGTAATTTCAACAATCTTTGAATGGAGAAATAACTAAAAAAAGTCTTACTGATTTAAATATTGTTAGTTTTCTTAATTTCATATGCACATCTTCTGTCAGAGAATCTCACTCCTGATCCATTCAACCATTGAATTCAGATATTTGCAAATTGAGATTATCAGTTTCAATTCACGCATAGACCCAGTCATTGTTTTTGACAAAAGAAATCGGCTCGTGGCTCCGTTTACGTATAGAAATGTAAAAATGTTGTCGCTTGTCTTATGCTGCTTTAACGACACAATCCCGCCCGACTCGATGCAATCGCAATGCATCTACATACATACAAACCAATTTACAGAACATATTGGTTATTTCAATAATTGAAAATGTGTTTTTGTTGGGTAGTTCCATCTACTCGCCCAGACTTGCATCTTTGGTGTACTCTCAATGTTTGCAGGATTTTAAGAACTTACATGACAATCCTTAAGATACAATGCATTGTGTCTTACGGATATCTTCCTATCTTAACGCACATGAAGCTTTAAAGCTACACTCTGTGTGCATTAGTCTGTAGGCTTGTGCGGCAAATGTTGCCGTTCCGCTTTTAACAGAAATCGAAATGTTAGTGTGTTTGTGTGTACTACAGCTTTCTTTTTTGTTGGCAATATACAGCTTTAGGAAACAAAGCTTTTGTGTGTTGTCCCAAATGATGTGAAATTACACGAGGACGTTATACCAATTTATGTCTTAAATTTTTAAAAGAAATGCATGTTTTTTTAACAAACTATATTGCATGATGATATTTGTTTTTTGGTAACAGACAGAGGTCTATTGATTTTAAGTTTGAATGAATATTCTAATATGCCGAGGATTTTCAAAATAGGTTAGATGCTGAGCTGGTTCGAATACCAAATGCCGTGGGCGAAGGAGACGTCAGAGTTATGACTGAAAATGTTTGCCATATTAGAATATTCAATTTTATTTTTTTTTTCAGCGAAACTCAACAATTAGTGAATTTTTGTAATGATTGGGCCTATAACTACAAAACGAACTTTCTTTTCCTTCTTTGTTTCATTTCAATTTTCACGGAATGCCACATCTACCACATCGTCATGACGCACATTTTTACATACATTTACATCTGATAAAATGTTGCGACCACTTATGATAGGCCCAATCGGATATCGAATGGAAATTCGGCTTGTCGAAGCTTATACGCAATATGCATCGCACAACGACAGCGCCATCGCCGCTTAATTTAGTTACCACCTGGTTTATGTGGATCGTTGAGAAGGTCAAGGTAAAACATCTGCAACTGTAGTCATGTATCTATGGAAGGACTCCTGCAAAGGACACGACCTTTTCCCCAATTCATTTAAAGCAAAATGGCAACACTTCCAAAATCAAATCCCAAACATATTTCTGTCTGTTTTTTGAAATGCACTTTTGAAGTCCAACTACTTTTTCCACATTTCACCTCTATTAAACCTCGTCCATATCTCCCGTCCGCACCTCTTTTGCTTTATCCCCGCACCAGTGATTGATGTTTGCATTTGTGTCTGTCCTTATATTTGAACTCATTCTGTGTCTGTTATTTGTTGTCTCTTGTCTCGCTCTTGCGTTGAATTGAAAAAAAAATGTAGGCTCGCATGAAGAAAAAGAAGCGTCCAAGTCTGGTACAGATGATGGGAATACGCCAGGCTAGTCCTCGCACTAAAGCCGGTGCCAAATGGCTTTCAAAAATTAAAAAAGGTAGGCTATACACATATGGATGAACCTCACCAGACAAGCCCAACTGACTCCCAATGGATTTGTCTAAGAGTATTGCTGTTGTTGTTGACTGCTTGGGAGAGACTATTTGTTCATGGGATTTGGTTAATTTGTTTGGTGAATGTCTCATATGTATCACCACGCACATTTAAGAAAGCTACTTCGTGTTGTTGAAAGCTTTCCAGGGTGCTTGTGGATAAAGCTCAACGATGCAAAAATATGTACATATATGTATCCCAGCTGGATGGTCTGTGAACAGGACTCTTGCAAAAATGTAATTACCATGAAAAGCCAATCCAGCTGCGATATATTATACCCGTTGGTGTGTTTTTTGAAAAGGCACACAACAAACACCCAACAACTGTTGTTTGGAAGCAAATCAAACAAATAAAACTAATTATTTTATGTTGATTTCACAGATTCAATGGCCCTGTCAGTGGTACACTTATCCCCACTGGGATCGCAAACAAGTTTTTCAGCTGCCAATCAAAACCGTATCGAAAATGTTGCCGACTGGGAAGCCATTGCCAAGAAGTACAGAGCCCTGGTTGGCGATGAGGATGCCGGCTCCCTCAAGGATTCAGATGCTGAAAGTGGTTCTGTGGAAGGCGGCGGTGGTGGTGGAGGGCCATCACAACCTCCCGCTCAGGTGGGCAATAATATTTCACAAACGCAGCCAAATGTCTAAATGAGACAGTAGTTCTAATCAGTCCGCTTGCTACTTTTCTCTAACGCTAACATTAAAATAAGATTATTTAATATTTTGCAGGTCTAAATAACTCTAAGGATATTGTAATTTTAACGTATCGCTAAGTAAATAGTTTTGTACATTTCAAGTTTAAGTAATTTCTAGAAGAGATATAGCTAGTCAACCAATTTAAAAGAAAAAAACACATTGTGCATTATTTTCATTTCCGTTTATTTTGTATCCGAATTTGTATAGCTATTTTAGAAAAAGAAACAAAAAAAAAAAAACAACAAAAACGTCATGTTTTCCATCACAAATGAGTCTGCAATTGGGAGTTCGCTCTCCAATTAGGGACTACTACAATTAATTAGGTGTTATAGTACATATCATCGATCCATAAGTAACCTTTATCAATGGCCATAACGCCACGAATTCCTAATGTTTTCCGTATTTTTATTCCGTGTGGTAGTAGCTAATGAACTTTGTTTTAATTGATGTACTTCGAAATGAGATATTTAATAAAACTCTAGCATAAGTTTGTAAGATATGAATGTATATTTTTGAATTTTATCAACTTTTTTAATAAATTTATTTTATTTTCTGAAAACCCCTGTATTGTTCATTTACGAAGGGGAAGTTTTTGGTAATTTTGTAGAGAATTACAATTAAACAAATAATAAGAGAGATTAATGAGACAGTGAAATGCTATCACCGACTATTTCCGAAATCAGTTTATTGACAAATCAAACCGTTTCCGAATGCAAAAAAAGGAATTTTTGAAACTATTTAGGTCTAATTTTATAAGTTCTCATTACAGTAGCCTAGTAGTTTAACAGAACTTCAGTACAAGTTGGGATAACATTTGATGTTTGATGATTATATCATTCACTTAACATTGACGTTATATATTTATTTATTTATATATTTAGTAAAAAAGATATATATTTCTTAGCTTAATGTATTTTGTGTATCAAATTATTATCTTGTCGATAGATTTAAAAGATGGAAATGTTACCTATATCTTATTGGATACTTTATTAAAATCACACACATAATGGATTTTGTTTGGGACAGTGCTATATTAAGAAGTCTAAATAGTATATAGTAATATACCTTAAATTGAAAAAAATCTTCAAAGTACCTAAAATCGGACCGTGTCTTAATATGTAGGGTTATACCAAAATGTGGACGGAATTGGAATTTGTAGTTAATCCAGTTGCCCTAAACTTTCGCATACTAACTTTATATGAGGGTTTTGACAATACATGCGTTGGTTTAAAAAGGTACTGATATGCTAAAAACTCTGGGAACAAAATATTTATTTATGCAATATAGAACTTAAAATGGTATAGAAACCTATACCAGAACTTGAACCGATACCTCCTGTTTTCGATGCTATAAAACTTGCAGACAAAGTATATTTATAAGCAACACTTTAGCTACCTAGGTTAATTCATTAAAAAGTTAAAATATTGCAACACACGAACAGATAGTAATTTGCAAATCGTTTTAGGGATTACGCTGATCAAGAATATACAGGGTGAGATAAAAAACTGCAACAATGTGGTACGCCATAATTTTTACATTTTTTTAATTTATTGAATGACTTTAAAAATGTAGGAAATAGCATCAAATTTTAGAATAAATTTAGATTTGTTCGAATTGGTCACCTTTGGCACGAATTATGGCCTTCAAACGGCCAATGAAACCGTCACACGTTGCTCGAATGTTGCTCTGCGGTATTTTGGCCCATTCCCGGAGAAGCGCTTGCTTGAGGTGATCGACATTTTGGTATTTTTTAGTGCCAACTTTGCTTTCCAAAATACTCCAGACACAATAGTCCAACGTATTGGTATTCGGAGATTTGTGAGCTGGAAATGAAGCGAGGAACCTTATTTTGTAATCGTTCTTGGGTGGCGCGTGCTGAGTGCGATGGTGCTGAGTTCTGTTGGAATGTCCAAGGCTCTAATACATCCTCTAGAATATTTTCGCTATAATATTAATTCTGATGCCGCGGTCGATTAATACGAGCGAAGAGCGACCATCGGCTGTTATGGCGGCCCACACCATTACCATGACCGGCGCTTGAGTACTGGTGGCCAACCGAAGGTGCACCTTTTCAACTGACCTAATTGGCAAGTTAACACGATCATTTTGTTTTTTTACAAACTGCTGGACAACGAAGCAACTCTTTAGCTCTTTTGAGTCTATTTCCTTTCTGTTGCGGTGTAAATTCTTGCACATTTTTGGAATTTCAGTGGCTTTATGCCAAGCTCATTTTTCAATATTTGTCGAATGGAATATTGCGATATGTTCAGCTCACGTGCCATTTTTCGTCCACTGCGACGCGGGTTTTGATCAAGTCGTATCTTTACTTTTCGAACCATTTCTCCTGATGTTGCTGTTTTCTCCCGTCCACTTTCTTGACTACTACGCTACGCTACCAGTATCACGGTAACGAGCGATGGGATGCGATGGGAGCGACGAGACATAAAATATTTATTCACATTTAAATGCTGGAGTGCTCTAACGATAGCCACTTGTGGTTTTCCAGCTAAATATAAGGAAATCACGCTTGAGTTCAATCACGAATAACTTTTTTTCTGGAAAATTCTCCCCAAAATGCTTTTGTACGCTAGTAAGCAATATAAGGAGCTATCACTGGAATAATTTCAACAGCTGTCGGACGAGTGACATAGAAATGACAGCAGTCTGAGATTGCTTGCAGTTGTTTCATCTCACTCTGTATGTTCTTCGCAGAGTCTTAAATGATTAATTCGAAAATTTTCTTGCGATACATAACAAAATAATATAGATTTCCATAGAAAACTTTTTAAAATTAACATTATGTTGGAAATACTGAAATTTTGCGATATCCTACTTTAGAATTCTTTTTTTGTCGATTCAAGATATAGTGAGCGATTTTAACAAGCTCCATCTGTTGACCAAAGCAACACATTTCAACGAGCTTTAAGCTTAAGAAAATAAAATATAGACAAATGAATGTTGCCGCGACATAGACAAATGAAAATATACGCAACGAAAGCTTTCAATATATGTTGTTAACAGATGTCGCAGTTACAGTTTTTGCGTGGTTAGGTGTGTTTTGCATGTTCGAGTCACCCGACTTCGAAATCAAATTAATTTAATTTTTAAGAATTTCAATTGTTTAATTGAATATTTTTCGATGTCATCATTTATGGGAGAGTTTTTCTATTCCAAAGCACCATTTACAGTCGGTAATTCTATTACAGCGGTTAATAATATTTATAATAAATAATATTTTAGGTTTGAAACGACATAGACGACAATTGCTGATTCGAATTATTTCCATGATATGCGGTCTATGGACACGACAACACCGTAGACAAAGACATAAAATATATTACGGTTGTTGTTATGTTGCGGTAGATGGCGATGGAAGTAGGAACAAATATGTCACCATATCATGACCCAGACATTGATAAAAAAGCATAGACTAAGCATGAATATATAGACAACGGAATGTCGGTTTTGCCTTTTTTGCAGGTGGCTGTCAGCAATCTGTTGCATGGTCCAAATGCTGATTCAAAAACATGTTTTATTAAGAATTTTCAAGAATTGTAGTAGAGAACGCTTTCTTAACTATCGCCAGAAAGCTTGATGTTTGCGTGAAAGTGCATAAGTCATTGACGCTAAAATGTAAATTTCGAGGTGTTACAAACGGAATGACAAACTTAATATACCCTCCATACTATGGTGGAGGTTATAAAAACCAATTTGAAGGTACTTGGAGTCTGGGACTGCTTAATTATAATTAATTAATTCCGTTTGTATAATTAATTCCGTTTGTAACATCCTTAAATATTCGTCGTAGACCCTATAAAGTATATATATTCATAATCAGCCGATTATGAATATTCTAAGCCGATTTAACGATGTCCGTCTGTCTGTCCGTCTATCTGTCCGTCTGTCTGTTGAAATCACGATACAGCCCACATTATTTGACGTAGAGCGCCAAAATTTAGCTCTGCTTTGTATTGTGTCTAGGATGGTTGGTAGTGAAAATGAGATATATCGGTCCACGTTCTGGTATAGTCCCCACATAACGGTACCTCCCGATATTCGGTATTTTGATTATTTATGCCACATTTTTTCATGGATTTGTCTGAAAATTGGTACTTGTAAGTCATAACCGGTCCCTGGCGTGTGGCAAAACATTGCATGCATGGGTACACGTTTTGGTATAGCCCCATATTAAGTTACCTCCCGATATTCGGTATTTTGATGGTTTTTGTCCGATTTTTTTACTGATTTGTCTAAAAAATTGGTATTTGTGGGTCATAATGGGTTCTAGTTCGTGTGGCGAGTCATTGTAATTATAGGTCCACGTTTTGGTATAGCCCCCATATAACGGTACCTCCCGACATTCGGTAATTTGATGATTTTTGCCACATTTTTTCACGGATTTGTCTGAAAATTGGTATTTGTAGCCATAATGGGTTCTAGCTCCGTTGGCGAAACATTGTATGTATAGGTCCATGATTTGATATAGGCCCCATATAACGGTACCTCCCGAGAACGGAGGCTTATTTAAAAAAATTGATCTTTTTGTCCCAAATTGTTTAGTATTCTTATGATTTTTATAAAATTTTGTTGTACACGGGATGGACTATGTGGTAAGATTATTTAAATATGATCAGAACATATACTCTATCTTGGGTTGCAGAATGAACAACTGTCAGCGACCTTTAATCTCTAATTTGTTTAAACAAAGATGACATCAAATCTTGAATTTATGAGACATATTTTATTATTTTCGAATTTTTGATACAAAAAAAAAAGTCTGAATTCTTCTTCTATGTACCCCATGGATTTGCCTTGTAGTGACCTATTACAATACCTACTTACCAACTTTATTAGTGGCAATCTGTTTTTGAACTATTCTTTTGATAATTAAAATTTGCCTTCTATATTTGTGATGCAAGTGATTTTTTTTTTCTTCATTTTAATATTGGTATGGAGCTATTTATGGTTGGTGTTATGGCGTCTGGTTTTTATGAATGTGCCACATGGCCTGTCAATGTCACTGAGTAATGTAATTGGATTTGTTCACAGCGAACTGCGTGTTTTAATTATTTTCATTAATTTCTGATATGAAAGCAATGATGACCTTTATTCTAGGAGCTAGTATTCATGTTTTTAGGGTTTTGTTATCTCTTAACTAATTTTTAAGAGTTGCTGGCGTTTGTAACTACAATTCCGTGTTAAGGTATTCAAGACAACCTTTCAATAGAAACATTTTTGCTATTTCAAATGGCTGACTTTAATTTCGAACGCGGGGCACACGCATGCATACCTGCCGCAACAGAGAACACTGCCTCCCTGGGCGCGCTAACCCCTTTCGGAACAAAAGTTTTGTTTCCATTTCTTTTGGATTTTTGTGAATTGTGTCAGTTAAGTGTGTTATGGTTCATAAATTCGTAGATTTATGGTAAAAGTGTTTCGAGATGAAACCCCACGAGTCGTGTGGCATCAAGTCAACGCGCCGGTGTTTCTTTCAACGTTACTACCCAACCCGATTCCCACTTCCATTGTATTTTCGCCTGTATTGGTTGGTTGCAGGCA